CGGGGCGCTGAGCTCGGCGGAGGCAGCGATCGCCTCGTCGTAACTTTTCTTCCGCTCGCGTTTCTTGAACAAGCTCAGCGTGGACGAGAACACACCCTTGTTCTTGGACTCCTTTCTCAAAGCTGCTCCTTTGTCGGCCGGGGGCGCCACCCGGTCCCTCGACTTGGACCTGCTGCGCAGGCTCTCGGTGGTGTCCCTGATCTTCGAGGTCAAGCTACGGCGAGGCTTGGTGCTGGGCGACGGTGATTCTGGGCTCAACACACTGCTGTCTGTACGGGCCTTAAAAGTTGAACACGCGGTGGTCAAGTACATGCACTTGTGTGTCTGTTTGTTCGAGATTTCTTCTCGATTAAGCTAGCGGATCTTCTACAAAGAGACAAAGCCAGGATATCCGTGTGGAATCGATGTGCGAAGCGGTTTACATGCCTATCATCTACTTTTCTAATTAAGTTTCATCTATAAATTATTACAATTATTACAGGTGGTACACAGCAGCGTATTACAACGTGGTTACAACGGGGGGTACCTTGAACAGGGAGGTGAAGCTGCTCTTTCTGGAGACGGAGGAGGGGCTGGGTGTACGGGATCCCTCGAGGTCGCGGACTTTCTGATGCCTGGCCAACTTTGGGCTACCGGTCGCGCTGCTAGTTGTCGGGGTTGTTTGCACTATCTCCTTAAAGTTCTGCGCCTTTTTCCTCTTGTCGTTGAAATCCAGAGTGGCCGGCTTCTGCACCTCTTGCGCCTGTTCACTTCTCGCCGATTCTTGCTCCGTTGTATTCTCCGATCTCTTCACCACCGGCACCTTCGATGAGAAATATTCGTGAGGAATGTGATCGTGAGGAGACAAAGAGAATCAGATATTCGATTTTACCTGTATATTCACCTTCTCGAGAAATCTCTTCGTGATCTCGACTTCTCGTTTAAAGATCTCCTTCCTCTCCTCTCGACCCCGCCGCCTCGGTTTGTCCAAGGGATCGGGCTTCAAATTTCCGTCCACCATCGACACCTTTATGCTCTCCGGGATCAACGCTTTCGTGGTGTCCGCCTCCCGTTTCAACAGGATCTTCTCCAGATCGTCGGTCTCAGGCTTCGACGGTTCTATCAGGTTATCGGCCAGGGTCGGCTTGCTTCCGCAGAACGACGTTTCGAGTAGACATTTGTGCGGGCTCGGTGACCTGGAGGTGAGTGACGTTTAGTTAAATTTCGGGATTCAAACGTGAGTCAATATACAGGGTGCCACAAAAAACGTGGAAACATTCTGAAGATTCCTGCTCGATAATATATATTGCTCCTCTTGACGAGATTGGTTAAGAAAGTGATAACGAGAAGGAAAATGTCGTTTGAAATTAGGGGAATCTTGGTTAAGTTGGAAGTTGCTAAAATTTTTGGAAAATTTTTGAAATTAGAGGAATCTTGCTTAAGTTGGAAAAATTTTGCTAAAATTTTTGGAAAATTTTTGAAATTAGGAAAATCTTGGTTAAGTTGTTAAAATTTTTGGAAAATGTTGTTAGAAATTAGGGAAATCTTGGTTAAGTTGGAAGTTGTTAAAATTTTTGAAAAATGTTTAAAATTAGGGAATTAGAATCCTAATTAAATTCTTAAAATTTTTGGAAAATGTTTGAAATTAGGAGAATCTTGGTTAAATTGGAAGTTGTTAAAATTTTTGGAAAATGTTGTTTGAAATTAGGAGAATTTTAAGTTGGAAGTTATTAAAATTTTTGGAAAATGTTTGAAATTAGGAGAATCTTGGTTAAGTTGGAAGTTGTTAAAATATTTGGAAAATGTTGTTTGAAATTAGGAAAATCTTAATTAAGTTGGAAGTTATTAAAATATTTGGAAAATGTTGTTTGAAATTAGGAAAATCTTGGTTAAGTTGGAAGTTATTAAAATTTTTGGAAAATGTTTGAAATTAGGGGAATCTTAGTTAAATTGTTAAAGTTTTTGGAAAATGTTTGAAATTAGGGGAATCTTAGTTAAATTGTTAGTTTTTGGAAAATGTTTGAAATTAGGAGAATCTTGGTTAAATTGGAAGTTGTTAAAATTTTTGAAAAATGTTTGAAATTAGGGGAATCTTAGTTAAATTTTTAAAATTTTTGGAAAATGTTTGAAATTAGGAGAATCTTGATTAAATTGTTAAAATTTTTGAAAAATGTTTGAAATTAGGGGAATCTTAGTTAAATTTTTAAAATTTTTGGAAAATGTTTGAAATTAGGAGAATCTTGATTAAA